AGGGTAAGCTGTCTAAACCGGGATTCTACCCACCCCTTCCACGCCAGCAAATCATCAGAATCAGCTGCAACTATGTCCACCTGCAGATAGTTTTTGTATGCCTCAAAAAAAAGATAAGGTTCAAAGAGAGCGCTCCACTGGGTCTTGTTCAGCTCAATCTCCTACAATAAACCAAAGGGGAAACGACATCAGTGATGAAACATAGCCCTTAATGGAAGAAAAAACTCAATTCATGCACTCACCTCACATATCCTATTACCATGGTGGAACTGCTCTGTCATAACTCGTAGAGTACTTATTGAGACATTGTAACTAGAGTTCATGCAAGGATACGCAGGAGTTATTATTGGCATGTGATGAAAGCGGTCACGAGGGTTTTTACGAGGATCCCATGTAGGGAAACCAAGTTCATTCTCTTCAATTGAACATAAAGTTACAGGATTTGGCCAACGCCACTGAGTGTATACTCTGAAAAATCTAGAAACCAACATGCTAGGAATTGCATTGGGATAAAGCTGACATATCCGAGCAACTAATATAGCCCAATTTACACCACCCAGGAATCCAGTAACCTACACACAATAGAAAAAAGGAACGGACCATTGCATAAGTGTAAAACTAAAGAGTTAATACCAATGAAGATTCTGAGAACTTAGACCACTGCCCTTACATTTGAATAAACACCACGCCTTTTAGCCCAAAACTTCAAACATCTGAGTGTCGTGCGGAAATGCTACAGTTACATAGAGTGTCAAAGGTTGAGTCAATTCAAAATAGAAATAAACCAGGTAAGGGATAAGTTATGATCAACCTCAACATTGGGGACAAGTTTAAGAATTTGATCTGCAACCCTGCAGCCGTTCAGACTTCGAACAGTTTGCTCATCGACATCAAATAGCACAGATTCATGTGAGATGTCCAGATCCTGTGGACAAGTATGTTCCAACACCACATCAATGTCGTAAACACCACTATTCATTGTCTCAATCATGAAGCAGTATAAGTGTCTCAAAATGTTAGTAACCAATTTGCCACAAATAATGATGGATAAAAAAATCACAATGTTAGTACATTGTACAAGCAAAAAACAATCAGGATATTAGTACCAGAGCATTAGATGGCCCACATGACCAAACAAGATAGGAAGGTAGCAAGATATTGTTTACAGGGGCTTGGAAACAGTCCTTCTTATGGTCGCATGGTTATGAAGCACAATGGATAAATGGAACAAAGAGCAAAAGATTTTAAGAAGGTGAATTCTGAACCCACCTCTGGAACAACCAAAAGAGATATGCTTGCATACAAAAGATCTATTGATATTCCCCGGAGCTTGAATTTCATGACGGGTACATGAGCATCAGGAACTGGTTGAAGTTCAGTAACCTCTTCCATTTCAGCCAGCATATCATGCAAAATAATAAAAAAATCTTCCTGGAGAAAGAGTCAAATGTGAGGTAGAGATGTGGGTAATAAATCAGACCGGATGCATTAAACAAGAACTGGTTCTATATATAGACGGATAAAGATATATACATCACCTCTCGATTCACATACGATGGCCCAACACACAAAGTGTCTATGTCAGCTCCAGGCCCATGAACCTGTCAAAATAATAAATTTGTTGCTACATCAAACACATAAAGAATGGTTATCACAGAGAGGAAAAAAAACATGAAAAGTGGGCAACAAGTAGCATAAATAGTCTCTCACTCAGTAGTTGGACCAAATAACCAAAGCAGGAAAAAATCTAGGGCTTCACATTAACATCTAAT